TTCACACGACAGGTTTAAGTGCAGCATCTCAACCGACGTAACTGCACAGAGGCCCAGCTATAGGACTGGGAAAATACAGCTTAGTCCCAAATATTCAAAAACCGCCTAATTAAAGAACTTGCCATTTAAGCTTCCGCTTGTGGATACAGCATTGTTCTGTTTCTGGTTATCATATGCAGGACCAATATTGGCAAGATCCTGAAAGAGATAAAAAAATCTGATGCATAGACTCGGTCAAACTTACCACTCAAAGCCTGAACCCGGCACTTCCAGGTGCTGGAGCACTCCAGCGCATCGCTTGGCACAACGCAGGCTCACAGCGTGACTTGGCTAAGTTCTGCTCATTTGACTGAGTATAAGCCACCGGCAAAAAGAAACCCCCCTCCTTCCTCCCAACTCCCCACGGCACACTTTCCTTCCATCTCTAGTCACATACTTGGTCTAGTAGCCCAAATTTGGGGTAATCTTCTTCTGGGTCTTTACTCCCTGGGTCCGGATGCTCCTTCACCAAGAACACATCTCTTTCTTTACACTAAAATAGAGAAGGAGTTTAAGTTACACAGGGTAAGATCATATCAAGTTCATTAACAAGTGTTTAAATCATAGTATTTACTATCAATATGTAGTTGGTGTACATACTACATAAGAAGTATTAGAATCTTCACCATTTAGCTCTAAGTCCAGACCTCAGCGAACACGACAGCAGACAACTGTACCATTCGCAGAAAACCCTCCATGAATTTAACTCCAAATACTTACCATGGTTTTGACAATATTATTAGGCCAAGTCATTTTCCCAGGTCTCTGTCGAGTTGTCATACACTCCCAGTATTTATCAATAAATGGGATAATATCCTGTAAAAAAATAAAATAAACTTGAGTCTTAACAGTGTGGGTCTGAAAGCCTCGCTGCCAGTATTTGTTCCAACTTGCTCTTCACTGAAATCACAGCTTATGTAAATCCGTGATGATTTTTGTAACAGCCATACCTTATCTTTTGAGAACATCGTTTTCGGGTGCTCATCTTGTGTCCTCGACTGCCACGTTAAGTTGGCCAGAGCACTAAGGCACATTTCCTTGAGATCTTAAAAAGTAAGAATATACCAAAGCTAGAATTACACTTCATGGGGAAGATCAAACATACACCCGTGTACACAGCAGTTACTAACCACACAGCAGCCACGCTAGCTTGAGTAACAGTAAAACCCTCACAAGTTCTGTCCTAACTCAGCAGCCCTCGCTAAACAGCAGACTTCCACCATCTTAATAACTAACTTACTAGCAAAACGGCAAAGCATTTTTAGAAAAAGCCGCACATGCTTGTTGCTAATATGGGATTTTTTTGGTCATTTTTGAAGAGCTTCAGCAGAACCCTCCCACCGACTTCAGATAAAATGAAGCCGCTAGGGTTATCTTGCGCAAAATGTCAGCGAATGTGCTTTTACACTTACTTGCTTGTTTTCTTAAGAAATATGTGTTCCCACTGTGATGGCAAACATTGCAATGGAAACTGTAGTTGGTCATGAAAGGCAGACATGATCTGGAAAAGAGCACGCTGATTTGTAAGTTCTGGTGTACACCTTACTTGCTACATCAGGTTAAGAAATTAATTATTCTTTACTACATTGGGTTAAGAAGTTAATTATTCCAGGTTAAGAAATTAATTATTCTCTCTCTCCAGAACCAGAAACATCTTGCAGGTTCAATTATATTTTCATCCAATTAGGTTTATCTGCGCATCAAGAAAAGCCACAAAGCTTTTGAGAAAAGTGTAAGCAAGCTAAGTGTCATCTTCTTGTTTTAGAGAAGTCCTGAAATTCATTCAGCAAAATAAGAGACAACAACCCAGAAGCTCTGGACAAGGAGCTCCAGCTGAATCAATTAATTTTAATTGGAAGCCTAGAGTACTTTTTAGGGACAAAATGCAACCAAAAGAAGTTAAGTTTTTAGTAAGCCTAAGGTCAGTCCCACATAGGTTCTAGAAAGCAAGCTGAATTTACTTTTCACTTACAGGAAGATTTTGTTTTTTGTTCTCGCCAACTGAAAGTGTCTGTTGAATTCTCTCTGCTTTTCAAATAACGTTTACAGGCCTCTAAGGCACTAAGTCCAAGGGTGGCTCTCACAGTCCTGAGGTCTGGACAAAGATTTTTTTAAAGTTGAAATGTACGAACATGAACACTTCCTGCTGTGTTGGGTAAAGCTTTTGTTATTTACATAACACACCGGTTTCCAGGTGCCCAAGGACCCGGACAGGGTCCTGGTCCTTAGGAATTTACACTCTAAATACTTCCATTTTTGCTAACCAAAGTTTCATGCCCAGCATGAACCTGAGCTTACGTACGTAGTGTCAATGCCAAACGTGTCTGCTGTGAACCACTTTGTACAGATTCCACACTGCAGCTCTATCTCTCCAAGCTGCCGTCCGTTCTCTTCATCCACTGAGCCTGCCTGAGCATCCAAGACTTCGGAGCTGTCCCCGGCAGCTTCCTGCAACCAGAGCAGATCAGCAAACTTGGACTGGCTTAAAGATTGACTGAATCAGACAGGAAAGAAGTTTTGTGCAGTAACCTGTCAAGACAGGAGAATTTAGAGGGAATAAGTTTTTTTTTCCCAAGCTGCCGTCCGTTCTCTTCATCCACTGAGCCTGCCTGAGCATCCAAGACTTCGGAGCTGTCCCCGGCAGCTTCCTGCAACCAGAGCAGATCAGCAAACTTGGACTGGCTTAAAGATTGACTGAATCAGACAGGAAAGAAGTTTTGTGCAGTAACCTGTCAAGACAGGAGAATTTAGAGGGAATAAGGTTTTTTTTCACCTAATACACAGCCATGCTGCGAGCGAGCGGGAACTATTCCATAGATTCAGTTAGTTAGAACTAGTCAGATGGGTGAGGATTTAACTTCCAAAATAATCCTTTAAAGAACTAAAGCTGGAGCTAGCAGGATAGAAACTCCTTCTCGCCTGAGCCACAGGAACGTGTTCAGATTTTGTTTTTTGAATAACTACCTTCTCACCTTCTATGTCATCGTCTTACCCCGACTCAGTAATCTTGGAAAACTGAGGATGCTTATTAGTCCTAAAACGTCAGGCATCGCCAGACATCTGTTTGGTAAATAGAAACATCTTATATTCTGAAGAAAAACTCTCCACTTGCCCTTTTTCTACACCACGTACAACCTGTGGCTATCTCATGCCTTCGCACCTCCCCTGCCGTCTGTGCAAAGACACCAGATCACTACCAAATAAGAATCCTTTGGGAAAACGTGCTGGTGGTGAGCGGGGCGAGCGGGACAGGTGAATGGGAGGAGGGAGAGGTGCTCGCAGCCTGGTGAAGAGGCATCCCAAGGATAAGCCTCAACCTCAGCCTGCAACGACCCACGAGAGGGAAGGACAGTCTCCGAGTCCAGGATCCCCAGCTCCCGCAGACCCGCGCAGACCCCACCACGAGGGCTGCTCCGCTGCAAGAAGCGAATCGCGGCGCCGGGCGGCCAGGCAGCACCCTCGCCGAGGGGCTGCGCGTTCAGCTTCGGGCGCTCTCGCGTTCTCCGCCTGCCCCCGCTCCGCAGAACTCACCCCCGTGGCCCGGGCCTCTCCCAGCGAGCCCCGGCTGCCCGCCGCCACCTACCAGGGGGTCCTTTCCGTTGGCGGACTCGGTCTCCAGAGCTGCGGTGACATCGACCAGGGCGGCATCCCCGCTGCGAGAGCAGAAACGAGCTCCTGAGAGGGGGCCCCCACCTCGGCCCCGGCGCG